GTGTGTGTGTGTGCGCGCGCGTGCGTGCGTGGAACCGGCCGGAACCAGATAGAACTGATCGGGTCGGGACCGGGACGATATTCTTGTGGATTTTTGGAACCGGGAACCGGTAGAAACGGAACCCCGGTAGAACCGGCAAAAACCGGAACCTTATGTTGCTATTTCTCGAGGACCGGTTCCAACATTGAAGACACGGCAAGAACCGGTAGGAACCGGTAGAACCGGCGGTCCGGTTCGGTTCTTAATTTCGGCCGACTTCGGTTCCCGGGCCTGGTCGGTTCCAGCTGGATTGGTTCCTTTGCTCATCCCCGTGTGTGCCTGCCTGCCTGCCTCTAAGGCATATGACAAACCATAAACTTTTCTTAATTTATTTAAGCACCACTTATTGCTTGTCAATGATGCGTACTAGGGTTGCTTGTGAACCACTTAGTATTCTTACAACAAAGGCAATGTCAGGAAGTCTTAGGTTCGACCTTGGTTTTAAAAAGTGCGATGTGCAGCATTGCGATTAGGATCTCGGAGGCCGATGCGTGATGCACGATGTGAATGCGATGACAACATTTAAGTGTGGCACACAAGTGGTAATTACCAATATATGTTTACCAATATACTAAAAACCCATAAAGATATAAAATGAAACCTAATGTATCGATCATGAAACCAAATCTATTGGTAATTAGTTAACCAAAATTCAAAAACCAGAATGCAAAATGCATATTTGTCGGATCAATATTGAAGTCAGATGAAGCATTGACTGCATTGTTAGTATCCATGAATGAGAGTAGAAAGAATAACAGAGAAGAGAAGCTGAGGTTAACTAAATGTCAATCAAAAAAGATGAGGGAAGAGGAAGAGTGGAAGACTAATAGATAAAGAAAAGAGAGAAGAAAAGATTGTCGTGTGAATTGTGATCTATGTGTCGTGCCTCTTTGTATTTTGGTACGCAAATGTCTAGGTTAGAAATAGGGCTGACTAGAACTAATTAACAATTGCACGTGCTTTTTTAATTATATAAAAAATATGACCATGATGTGTTGGATGCGTACACATTTCCTGGCAACATGTAGGTCGCAACGCCTTAGACCATACGGAGCGGGCAACGCCACCGGCCGTTATGCTTATGTGGCAGGCCCTTAACGGCGCCATGGCGGCAGGAACACCGCCCCAGCCAGCCGTTATCGGGTGTTATGCCACCGGGCGTGATGGTGGTAACGGGACGAAACGCATGTTATTCCTCTGCTTTTTTCCTGATTTGCTTCTTCTCAACGTCGTTTCAAATAAGAAACACCATTTCCTTTTGATGTTTATTGATATGTTATGAAGAGAAGAAGATGATGTGGCACCCATAACGTGGGTATGGGCGTTACCCACACCCACCAGCCTTACACATATGTTGCCCTTATTCCATCGCATCGCAACGGCCGCATCATCGCATCAATCATGCTTTTTTAAGCCAAGGGTTTGACTATAGAAAAACTCGAAATAATGCCTATTTGCGGTCATACATTATGTTTATTAACAACAATATGATTATCTCATATATAATGGTCAAAATTAACAATACAAGATGTAAATAAAATACATAATCATTTATTGCATTGACATTATCAATTTGTCAAGATTCTAGGTTCACCACAGTTCACATAAATAATATCGTATAAAACTTAGATGGTATTTGGGATTCCTTTTAGAATGATTTTTGACTTTTAACTTTTCCAAAAAGTCAATTTTGACTTTTAACTTTTCCAAAAAGTCAAAAAAGAAAAGCCCAAAGGTGTTTGGGTAGTAGAAAAGTTCTTTTGAAAATGACTTTTTGAATATAAGAAAAATAGAGGTTTCTAAAAGTTACGAAAATGTGACTTATTGTGACTTTTAGTTATTTTACATGTAAAAGTTAAACCAAACAATTTTTAAAAACAATTTTTGTCTTTTGCCCCTCAAAAAGTAATCCACACATATTTTAAGAAAGTCCTTTTGCAAAAAGTCTTTTTACAAAAAAAGGACTTTTAAGGTTAAAAAGTAATCTTAAACACCCTCTTAAAGTTCTTCATTTTAGCCAAATTGATAAACAAATCAAAAGTTTCTTTCATAACCATATTAGATCAATCGATAAAGCAAGATTTTTAGCCAAAAGTAATCTTAAACACCCTCTTAAAGTTCTTCATTTTAGCCAAATTGATAAACAAATCAAAAGTTTCTTTCATAACCATATTAGATCAATCGATAAAGCAAGATTTTTAGCCAAATTGACAACTCCAATGATTTTTAGCCAAATTGACAACTCCAAATTAGAGACAATAATATTAGCAAGTTAATAAGTAAATCATACATCAGAATAAATACGTATAATCAACAACCTAAAAAACTAACAAAAATAATCATCATAGAGTAATTGATAAAAGTTTTAAATGCCTAATTTCTAATGCCTTTTTAATTTACTAAAAATAAATTAGTTACCTTTTAGTATTATACAAACTCAAAACCATGACTTTTTGGTTCTTTAAATTTACAAATATAAAATATGACTTCTTTTTATATTGCTTGACAATATATATGGTAAATAAAAAGGAAAATTATATTTTAGTGCCTTAGAAATCCCTTGTGTTGGATCAAAAGTATTTTAAAATCTTGATAGAATGTGGTTATGATTTTAGAATTTGACTTTCGAATTTAGATTATCTTTAGTGAGATTTTTTTGAATCAAAGTCACTTATAGAAACGGTATTATAGATCTTTATTTTTTACGTTATAATCTATTTCTAACAAAATGGTTTTTTTCATTTTTGAAAAGAAAGAATCCACAAAATGGAACCATATAAAGAGAATCTATAATTATTTAACATTTAAAGAAAATAAACTCATACTTCCTGTCAAAAGATAATGGTGGCGGTGGGTTATATGGACCATCAATTAACCAATCAAATATATTGAGTTATTAGTCTTTCTAGTATATGAATTGAAACAGTTGGGGGGTGGTGAAGCACCCGCTTGCCCCCCATTGGCTCCGCCACTGAGGCTAGCAAGATATCAACTATCATTCGAGATAACAGCGTAAACAAGTGGTCTTCAGGAATCACTGCTTCTTCTTCTTGGGTGGTAACCATAATGATGGATTGTGCAATGCGGTACATTGAATTCATAACAATGAACTCCCAAGATACGTTATGCACCAGTTCTCCATCCAAAATTTGTTTTGCTTTGTTAGAAAACCACCCAAGGATCTCTCCATGGTTGTTTTCCCTTGAAATGCACTTTTCTCCACCCACATGTAGTTGTCGTCCAATTCATCCCACAGCTTCCTTGCCGCCAATTGAGCTTTCACAAGCTCAGATGATGCATTACACAAGCTCTCATCCACAAGATTTGTGTAAAAGTGACCCTTACCAACACTTTCAAATAAGTTGTCGATTATGTCCCTATCCATACTCGGAAGAGCAATGGCGATGCATGTTAAGCTTGTTACTGCCAAGATCCAACTGCGAGGAAGTTCAACAGGTAGTAAAGGTTCCACTTGATATAGGTCGAAATTCTCTACCCCCTCGAACCGGCAGAGTTTTCAAGAAGCTTTATCAGTCTCTTAGGTTGCTCCTCCTTCCCTATTTGGATCAACTAACCAAGAGAGTCTGAAATCCGTTTCATAGATGTTTCTTCAAGCTCCATATTTTCATCAAGATACAGGTCGTATATGCTCAACTAACCAAGAGAGTCTGAAATCCGTTTCATAGATGTTTCTTCAAGCTCTATATTTTCATCAAGATACAGGTCGTATATGCTCATGTCTTCATGATCTGTATCGATGTTGGTTGAGGATGGAGTAAATGGTACCATCTTCTTGAAATGGTACACGAAAACACTTGGCACCATAATGGGGAAGATTTGCATCATCTTCGATGTTACAACGACCCCCTTATGGAATCCAATCAAAAGTCTAAGACCGGTGCTTTTCAGTTTCCGGATAAACCTTCTTAATCTCCGACTCCTTAACCGAAAGGTTATTGGATTTTCCTTCCACTCTAATAGGGTATGAGTCCAATATCTTTCCACTCTGAACACATCTACCATAAGCTCCCAGCCCCCTACCAAAAGATTAAAGATTTGTATCTCACAACTGTAAAACATCTAATGATAGGGGCAATGACCCCTATTATAGTTCCACTGAACTGTGCTATAAGGATAGAAAACGTAGACCAACTGTATGCTGAATCCTGTACCAAATCATCAGGTGAAGCAAGTTGTGTCACCGCTATAAATATGTAAAATCCCAAACTGACTAAAGAAATCAAGAGAGAAAAAAAGCAAATCGGATTGCTAGAAAGCGCAAACTCAGGGTTACGCGTTTCTGCCATGATCAAGTATCGTTCCACATGGCTACTTAGACTCTTAAAAGAGTATATTGTGTCATGCGGTGCTTGATCCTTCCAAACCGTTTTGCTAAGCGTCTGATACTTGGCATCTAAAATTTTGTTAGACGATGAAACTGTTATAGCAAAAGCGAGTAAAAGTATTAGTTGGAACAAGAAAAAACCAACGTACAAGTATCCAAACTTAGAAATGACACGACTAATACACTGCACCCAAGTGTTCCCGATGACAGTGATTATGAGAATAGCGAAAGTTATGGCGATTGATAGAAGTTCTTTGGTGTCCTTGGACGCCAAAGAAGGCATGATGTTTGTGATCATTGTGCACATAAAAGCCAAGCTTCCAAACTTGGCTGTTATGTCCACCTTTCCATTCATCGGGCTTGTCATATCCGTAGATAATTTCACTGCGGCTGTTGCAAATGTTAGAGAAACAACACCCAGATAGAAATATCTACATGGTAACCAATATCGCTTGTTGTAGAAACCACTCCACAAATCAAGTAATATAGTCAGACAGCATTGCAATGATGCTATCAGGATGAATACCCCAACCCACACCACAGGTCGGTTATAGGTGGCTTCCATTTCAGATTGAAACACTATGGAACAGTATTTCATTAGAGATGAATACATAAAGTCAGTGACATACATTGGTATCACTGCATTAGCTCCATCAGGCCTCGATACTGACTTTATCATTTCATTACAATAATCCGAAGAGGCATTATAAGAGAGAATGTTTGACATCTTTATTGATTTGTATTGTTTTGAAAATTCATACCAACATCATAATTTTATATAAGGATGTTATAATAAACATGTCCCACACTTAATAATGACCCTATCACCCTATGTGTGTATCTTGTCAGCAAGCATATATAAATTATCATTAAAAACTACAAGTTTCGATCAAAACTTGTCCAAATCCTTCTAAGTTTCTCATTTCCCAAATAAGATCATTTGTATTTCTCTTCACTCACTCATCTATAATTTCCATCCCCAAAAGTTAGTTAAAAATGATTTTTAAATTATTCAAAACGTTTACACATAAAATAAGCATTAACATTTAGAAAAAGAAAATAACATCTCATACATGCTACATAATACCAAGAAAATTTCCAATTGTTTATTTCTTTTAGCTAACACTTTCTTGCATGCATGGAAAGTTCAAAATGCCTTTAAAGCAACACAAGGGGTAATATAATTGAGTGGAATTACATAAGAAAAGAAAAAAAAAAAAACAATCCCAGAAATTAGAGATGCATACCGAGTGATAAATAAAATAAATTATAATAAACTAAACAATCCCGAAAATTAGTGGGAATCATCAGA